TTTAATAATCAAATAAAAAATTATTAAAAGTATATTGAGATGTTCTTACCAGACATGATTCGAAGCCACTGTCTTTAAGAGTTAAAAAAGCAAATGACTGGTTCAACAATTACTTAAATAATTTTTAAGCAAAAGTTTTGGGATGGATTTTTTCGAAACCTCTCTTTCCATTTGTCCCTTCCCCGTTCATCAACCAATCTCCAGCAAGCAATCTCTTAGCAATTCGTTAATATTTTTTTGATCTAAACCCAGAATTTTGAACCATATTGCAACATGGTGGGGGATTACTCACTATTGTAGTTGCAGGAGACAGAACCTGCCCCACTTCCAGTCTCCACCGCTCTTTTCCCCCATTCATATTGTGCTCATATACTAAATAAATTAATTTCATTGATCATCCGAAGCGCTTTGTTTTTTTTTTTTTTTTTAATTTCAAGAACCAAAAACATTTGCATTTGCACGAATATTTGAGATCATCAGATTCTCCCCGAATCGTCATCTTGTACCAAACCACAGGGTCCATCATATACGTACTTTCCTGATTCACAGAAGAATGAAATAAAACTAAACACATAAATAAGACCAATTGCTACATATATAGATAATATTGTAGTGCAATCCATCTCAGTACGTATGTTCTTTATGTTTTTGTGTGTTTTGTATCAGAGATGATTATCATGTAATGTATAATAGTTTCATGTATCCTTATATTTCATAACACAAGTTTTCATATTTGAGGTATCAATTTTTTGTTAATTGTAGATATATCACATAAATTATTAAAGTGAAAACTTTCTCATTTTATAGTGGGAAGGAATGTTACCCCCAATATAACAAATATATATTTATACACACTTTATTTTTTAAGGAGATTAGAAAAGAAAAAGGGAAAATAAAATAGTGGAAGACGAAGAAAAGATTCGAATAGAAATTATTTGGAATGCCCTATAAATACAAATCCTTCGCACCCCTCTTTGTCACACCTTCTACTTACAGTTATCTCCTACACTCATCCATGGCTTCTCTAACCTTTCCAGGTGTCCTTCGCCAGCCGGTCACCATGCAGCGGTATTTTGATGACAAACCCAAATATTCCTTGAGAAATGATAAAACCAGTTCTCTTGCTTGCCAGAAACCTAACATTCCTCGCAATTTATCGAGCAGTGTTGCGAGTCCTACACGGGTTGCTGCTCCATCTCTGGATAATGAAACCATTGCCGACCGGAGCCAGAATCATGTTGCGTGGACTAGCATCCGACAAGAGCGGTGGGAGGATGAGCTAGTTGTGGAAGGAGAAATACCCTTATGGCTGGTATGTATTTGAAGGAAAAAAAAAATCAAAAATCCCATTACCTCATTTTTATTGTTTTACTATGAAATTAATGGTCGTTTCTCCGATCTAACATGAGCTTAGTAAACATAGGGATATCTTCTTTCTCTTTATTCCTTCTGACAAAGTATTTGTGAGTACGTATCATTCAATTTTCAATTATATTTGATTTAACTGTTAAAAAAAATTGATAATTATAATTATTAATTATTAATGATAAAATAACTAATATTAATTTGAAATCAATCTATAAGTTAATGTTTCTAATTAAACACTCCAACCAGCTGTTTTATAAGAAAAAAGATATATAAATTAATAAAATTAACAAACTAAATATAACTTTCTTCGTAGCATAGGATGCCTATAGTCGAGGTAGTAGATAACAAAGTAAAAATTTCAGTCCGAGGAAATAGATTCCTTGTCTTGATCAGATCAAAGTTTATAATAACCCTTTTATGATTCATAATTTATAAATAAAACTTAAATTAATATATCACCTTTTTATATATAATTTATAATTCAAAATCTTCGTGTACCCCTACGTGACCATTGTCTTTTTTGTTTCAATTCAACTAAAACTAAATAATATTAATAAATGTATAATGACATGCAGAATGGGACATACCTGAGAAATGGTCCAGGTCTGTGGCACATAGAAGACTACAACTTCCGGCACCTCTTCGACGGCTACTCCATGTTAGTCAAGCTCCACTTTGAGAATGGCCGCTTGATCGCTGGCCACCGCCAGTTAGAGTCTGAAGCCTACAAGGCGGCCAAGAAGAACAAAAGAATATGTTTCCGTGAATTCTCGGAGGTCCCCAAGCCGGACAATTTCTTAGCCTACGTTGGGGACCTTGCCAGCCTCTTTTCCGGTACGTCCTTAACCGACAACGCTAACACCGGCGTTGTCAAGCTTGGGGACGGACGTGTGGTGTGTTTGACAGAAACACAAAAAGGGTCCATAATTATTGACCCAAACACGTTGGACACGCTCGGGAAATTTGAGTACAGTGATAACCTCGGGGGTTTGATTCATTCGGCGCATCCAATAGTGACAGATGCTGAGTTCCTGACGTTGTTGCCGGATTTGGTGAAGCCAGGATACTTGGTGGTGAAGATGAAGCCAGGTACAAATGAGAGGAAGATCATCGGACGAGTGGATTGCCGGGGAGGACCAGCACCTGGGTGGGTCCACTCTTTTCCTGTCACTGAGCATTACATCGTTGTTCCGGAGATGCCATTGAGATACTGTGCACAGAATTTGCTGAGGGCTGAGCCAACGCCACTTTACAAGTTTGAGTGGCATCCAGAATCCAAAGCCTTTCTCCATGTCATGTGCAAAGCTAGTGGAAAAATTGTAAGTCTCTGTTTACCCCTTTCATGGTTTTCAAGGGTCTTAGCAATCCTCATAATCGATGCAAGATTTTCCCACTATATGGTTTTGGTGTTTGAAGGTGGCAAGCGTGGAGGTACCACTATTTGTGACATTCCACTTCATTAATGCATACGAAGAGGAGGATGAAGATGGAAGGGTCACAGCAATCATTGCCGATTGTTGCGAACACAATGCTGACACAACAATTCTAGATAAGCTTAGGCTTCATAATCTCCGATCATTCAACGGCCAAGATGTATTGCCAGATGCAAGGTAATGATGAGGATATTTTTAGCATGTTTGCATGTTCATGCAATATACATATATAGAAACTTGACTCAATTAGTGTTTGAAAATTAGGGTTGGGAGATTCATAATACCATTGGATGGGAGTCCAAAGGGGAAGTTGGAGGCAGCTTTGGATCCAGATGAACATGGCAGAGGAATGGATATGTGCAGCATAAACCCTAACTACTTGGGGAAGAAATACAGATATGCTTATGCCTGTGGAGCACAACGCCCCTGTAATTTCCCTAACACCCTCACTAAGGTTAGTGCTGTTAATCAATATTCTTGGTATCAACTGAAGCATCTTTTCTAGAGAGACGTAATAACTCTGTTTTCCTTCTATTTCAGCTTGATTTTGTAAAGAAAATGGCCAAGAATTGGTATGAGGAGGGTGCAGTGCCATCAGAACCATTCTTTGTCGCACGCCCAGGGGCAACTGAGGAAGATGATGGTGAGTTTGGGTCCTTTACCATTGATTTATGATACACTGGAAATGAAGAAGAATGAATGAATGAATGAATGAAATGGATTTAAATTTTACCATGTAACATTGTTGCAGGTGTTGCGATCTCTATGATCAGTGAGAAAAATGGAGGTGGGTATGCGCTCCTTTTGGACGGATCTACATTCAAAGAAATTGCCAGGGCAAGGTTCCCTTATGGCCTACCATACGGGCTGCACGGCTGCTGGGTTCCAAAAATATAAAATCTGTTTAGGAGTTAAGGTGGAAATAATACCTTCTCCGCATCCAGATACTGCTTCTGATATGCATCTGATGTGTTGTTTCATGTATGATAGACAGCATAAATCATGGAGATTATCATATATGTATGATGATTGCTAGTTGGTGCCCAAGGCCTAAGCAGAATTAAGTATTGCATAAATTTCAGAGTGCTGTATATGTAAAATGAAATCTTGAAGTAATGCACGACAGTAATGCTGGTTTGGGTAAGCATTTAATCATGATCAAAGAAAATCTTTACGATCTTATTTCCAAAATAAATGTGTGGTTACAGCCACCGCCTTGCCTTAGAGTTTGTTTAACAACAACAACTGAGAAAAGCCTTTATATAAGAAAAACCTAGTTAAATAAATCTGGTCTCGAGCATTCAAACTTCACCCATATTTCTATGCCACTCTAATCAAACAGAGTAAAGAACCAAGAAGCAGAACATTGGAGGACATACAAAGAGGTCCCAGTCCCAGAGGCAGCTCAACTGAGTAACAATTTGTTATCTCCCAGTTTTGTTACAATAGGAAGCTTAATTAGATTCTAATTTTGCACTAACTAATAAGAACTATTCCACAGTAGTAAACCTCAATCCAACTGCTAAGGTTCTCAGGACAAATGTAACTCATTTCTGGTCGGTATAAACAGCATCAACATCATCAAGTTCAAGTAATTTAGACATAAGTTCCCTATTCAAGTCCATAGCCTCATCATCAACCTGAAACCCACCAATACTTTAACATGTAACCATTTTCCTCAAGAGCAAAAGCAGGAAAGGAAGGGCTATGTTTTTAACAATCAGGAGAGAGCCAACAAACCAGAAGACCTAGAAGCTCTATTCAGGCAGTTTAAAATTGTGTTCAAGTGCTCAACATAACACGCAGTCAACAGATATATGGTTAGAAATGGATCAAATGCAGACAAGAGAAGTGATCAAATATGGACATACCTCAATAGTGGTTATCGGAAGTAGCTCAGAACCATTGTCAGTCTCAAAATTTATTCCTTCTTCCCGTAATTTTGCAAGTATTGTTGCATAATTCTCTGTTGAACTTACAATTTTATAATAGCTACCAGGAAAACCAGGGGTTAGAACTAGGTAGATCCAAGGAGACAAAGATCATCATAATAAAAAGAATTCACATAGGATGGCATACGATATATTTTATGAATTCAAACTTAGTTAGGCTAAGGGTTTAAAGAAGAGATCTAACATGTACAATGTAGGACTTCAATCATCCAGAAATAGAACTGAAGCATGACAAAATAAAGAGATCAGAGATGTAATAGCACAAAGAGGTGGGAATAATTACCTCTCTGATCTGTCCTCATCACTGTCGTCCTCACTTATTGGAGGTTCAATAACATCCTCGGCACCAGCATCTAAAGCAATGGCAAGGAGCTGGTCCTTGTCTGCATCTATGACTTTTATATTAACAACCCGAGCACGCCTGAACTTGAACAAGACAGATCCAGGATCTGCCATTTTTGCTCCATGGTCCTTTACAACCTCCCTAACAGTCGCCACCGACCGGGTTATTTTATCTGTTAAGACCTCAATTACCATGCTAACTCCACCAAAACCATACACCTAAAAGGATATATATCACAAGAGTAAATAATGGTATAGACAGATGCCCTTTGATTAAATATGGTAGTATAAAATGCAAACCTCATAAATTTTTTCAAAGTAAGCCTCTTGTCCCTTCTCAGAAGCTCTCTTGATGTTACGCTCCAAAATTTCCTTGGGAACATCAAGCTCCTTGGCCTTTTCAAGTACAGCAGCAAGAACCATATTTGACATCGGATTTGGACCACCTTTTTTTACACTGCATCATCCAATATAATCACAACTATGATCCTTTCAGCGTCCAAGATAACTACTGGAAAAGCATACAACTACAAACCTGATATGCCAAACAAACTACTAAAAGTAAACCACACCAATAATGTTTGGGAACAGAAGAAGTTCACTAAGCTACCAAATAAAAAAATTTCCATTCCTGGATTTAACCATTAGACTTACGCAGATACAACTTCCTTTCCAATCCTTGAATACAGTTTTGCCTTCTTTGCATCTTGAGCACCCTGCGTTTAACCAGAACAGTAAAGCATACGAGCAAACAATTCACAATCAAGGTCCACAAGAAAAAATTAACTTTTAACCATTAAAGATGGAACCAAACTCGTCTTGGACTTTCATCAAACAGGTGGCATACATGAAAAATTCAAAATCAGGAACCCATTATTGGAAAACGTTGTTAATGATTCACTGACTTAGAACAACAAACCAGCAACCATAAAACAGCTTATGAACACAAAAAAAAATAATAATAATAATTTATCCAAAGGATCTAAATTTCAACAACTGCAATACAACTCCTCTAGACCCAAAAATTCTCAGAGCAAAACAAGCACTCTAATGCATCATATTCACAAGTTAGTAAATGTCAGCAATTTGAGGAGAAAGCAAAGGGACCTTTCTGCCAGCAATTTTGCTGGAGCGCCTGCCCATGCAGACAGGAGGGAAAGTGGACACATTTCGCTGCTGATACTCACTGAACTGAATTTGGTGCTGAGGAAAAGATGAAGCCGATGATATCGACACCACTGATGATAACGAACTTCTGCTCCTAGTAATGAAGGAGCTTGCGGGAACCCCATTGGTGAATCTGTGAATTATTGTGGCGACTGCTCTGAGTGAAGAATACGATCTCATCTTTTCCTTCGGCTTCCTTTCTGACTTTTTTCGCACCTTGTGTCTGATCGATATCGATTTTCCCGGCTTATGCGGCGGAGTCGACAGACGCCAAAAAACTAGGAGACCAGACACAGAGATCACAACAATACCGTTCTCCCTCCGGCATTGCCCTCCGGGGAAAGAGAAGAGACGGCTTCTTCTGAGTTGCTCCGTTCTGATAATCGGACCATTGTGCATAGGCCCAAAATTTAGGCCTTGGGCCTTAACCAGATTAGAAATCTTGTTAGGGGGAGAGAATAATTTTAAAAGGAAAAAAAGAAATATTTTTACAAAATGTAAGCCAATTTTTTTTAAAGCATATTTTACCTTAAAAACAGTTGGATTTTGCTTATGAGGAGTGTTAGGGACACTCTTTTTCTCACACTTAATTAATACTCACACTATAATTGATTCACATCATATGTATTTCTCTATTATTCATTTATGTAACAAATTAAGTTATTTAAATTTAAAATCATCAATGCTTAGGCTAATCATTTCATAAGTGTTGAAGAAGAGTGTAAAAAACAACAAGAAATGATTTTAGGACAATTTTTTTGTATCACCTTTTAATACAACTTAATGTATCATTTAAACTATTAGTTCTTTTTATTCATATAAAACTTATGATATTGAAAGTATCAACTCATTTAATGATACGTAAAAATTGTATTAAAATATGGTATAAAAAAATTATCTCTATAATACCACCCAAAAACAACATTGACTAAGCATTTCTCTTTTGCTTATTGTTCATTTAATTTTTTTAACAGATTTATCAAATTTATCAAATATTTTATAAATAAATAATAATTAGAGAAATAGCATAAGGGGCTGGGTCCATCTGCATTGCTAACCGAGCTTACATTTTTTTTTTTTTGGGCCGTTGAAGGTGTTGCAGTCTTAAACCCCCACAAAGACCCCCCGAAAGGTCTAAACTGCGACGCTTGCGCCGCCACTCATCGGCGGCTAGCCGGTGTTACTGCGACAACCCTAACATTTCTCCTTCCTTCGTCTTCTCCAACATGGCTTCTCGCTGTAGATCTCTCTCAAGACCAACGCTTTCTCTCCTGAAAGACTCCTTCATCAAACCCACCCTTAAACCCAAACCTGCATCTTCTCTTCTGACCACCAGCTCTTCTCCCACATTTTCAAGGCAAGCACTTTGAATTAAAACCTGTTTCATGTTCCAATCATTTTGTAATTTGAGCGTTGGGATTTGTAATTTAGCTTCTCTTTGCGAATGGGTTGCCTAAAATTACTAAACATTTTGTTTGGGTTTTGATTTTCAGGCCAGTTCCTCAGTTGGGTTCTCTTCAGTCTCTGCTTCCTCTCCACTCAGCGGCATCTTCAGCTCCGCTCACCTTGTGCCTCGGCATTGATTTCCGGCGTTCGAGATCGTTGTCTCAGGGTATGCTTTGCAGTGCAAATCCGGGTGTTTGATAATCTTCAATTGTTTTTAATGTAGTTTCTGTAAGCAACCTTTAACTCTTATTTTGTTAATGCAGCTTATTGGTTTTCAATTAATGCCTTCATGATATTGGTATTCAGTTTTCTTAATCAGAATCTATTATTTTGAGTCCGCATTTCTTTTGTAAGTAATCTTGGTTGCATATTTAATCTTCATTTTTTTTTTTAAATGGCTGCATGATCTTGTTTCTACCTCAATTACTGGTTGATGAATGAACTGGGGTAAGAAAAGAAAGAATTTTGCCTTTTTAATTGTTATTGATTAAGTCGTGGTGAAAACCGAACAATGTGGGATTAAAAGAATCCATCTTTGCCATACCTATCCGGCATAACATTTTCTTCATTGAGGATATTGTATGCCATGCCCCCTGTAGGAAATTTAAATTTTTTCGTCATCATAGGGTTATGAAGTGGCTGCTCTGTGTAAAATTGGTCATGCAGGACACATCGACCCTGATTCATGTAGACCTTTGTAACTTTTCCATACAAGAGAAAGCTGTCTTCTTGACTCGCTGGCTCTCAGCCTCAAACTATACCTTTAACATTGTGTACCAGTTCTGTAATTTTGAATTCTTGACTCCCTAGCCCTCAGCCTTTTCAACCTTAAAATTTCCATTTTATTGTCTCTTATCATTTTATTATTGTTGGTTTGAGGTTGCTTTAGGATTGAATGTGTCATGCTTGAAAATTCTTTGGTGTCACTAGCATTTGTTAGACATACTATACATATAAATCATGCAAACACATATTGAAACCAAGGTTTCCTTTTATGGACAATTGTATTTAATTGGTCTTCTGCTTTTTCCTTTATAAAATGATTGAAGTGATAAGCATCTACTAGTCTACTGATAGGAAATAGGGAAGAACATAGCGTAAGTGGAGAAAACAGAAAATGCACTTGAAAGTGGTATTCTTGAAATGGCTGATAAGAATTCAGGAAATGTGTTTCCAATTTCATCCTAAACAGGATGGTAATCAACTACCTAGGACAGAAGGGTAGAATGGCACTATTCTTATTAAAATTAACTAAGGAGTCCCTAGTAAAATAAAAGAAGGATTGGGATAAGTGCATCAAAAAAAAGAAGGATTTGGATAATTTTCCAGGGATAAGAATTTCTATAATTGTATGACAATGTAAGTTCATGATTATTTGATAAGTTGGTGTGTTGAAACAGGGGCTCATACCCTCAGCGACATGAGTTGAATTGGGGAGCTTCCACATGGTTTTAGGTCATTATGATTTTAGCAACAACTTGAAAATTATGTTCTTCCCCTTCTTTGTTAAAAACAAATAAATCTGTTGATTGGAAATATTTAATAATTTGTGAAATGTGGTTTATACTTTCTAGCTGAAAATACTATTAGTCAACGATGAGAATTTGATCTCTGTTGATTGTTTGTGGATGATTTTTTAGTGTTAACTCAAAGAGAACAAGCTCTATACTTTGCCTCTAGGCTAATTCTACTGTTTCTATTTTGACACAGGCAGGTCTCAGCGTGCCTCGATAAGAGATTAAGATAAACGATGTTCCTTCTTCTGGTGGCCTTCTGATTATCTTACAGCATGTATATGCCATGCATTACATCACAAATAAAATCTACTGTATTTGCTGATCAATCTACCATTGCTTCATGACTAGAGGTTATGGATGGAGATTAATCCTAGTTACTGAATTACACATCTTTTATGTCATCTAAATGGAGACAAGATCAAAGATTTTGGTATGGTTCCACATGTCTAGGTGGACTGAACTGAAGTACATGTGGGAAAATGACAAGAGGACGATCAGATTTCAGATAGCATCGTCTGTCTCCCCTTTCTCTGAAAGTAGCTTTGGCCATGGCGCCTCTGTGTCTCCGTTTCAAGAATACCTTTGCATGTGGACTTGATCGCTCTTTCTGCCCTTCAGAACGCATTATTGTACTTTTCCTATTTCTTTATCTCCCCTTATCGACGTGTCTATGAAAATATCCATGTGCTTCGATGCATGCAGCTTTCGTAACACCCTCCAGTCACTTAATTAAAAGAATAAGAAAAAGGAAGATGATTCTCACAGATTTTTTTTTTTTTTTCTGGCTTCAATTATACTCTTTTTCTTTTCTTTTTAAATAATACAAAACTCTTTTATTCTTTCACTCACTACATTTTCACATTATATGACTTAAACTTTAAAAATCTTACTTTATGAAACGTTACCTTATCTTCGTTGAAGAATAAGGGCCAATTCTTATAGGTGTAATCTCCCATCTCCTAATTTCTCATGTTTAAAAAAAAAATCATAAGAAAAAAATATGGAAGGGAGACATATCCATTGCAACTATGATGAAGACTCGTCTATTTTCAAAAGTCATGATATGGAAGCCATTAACGGGAACTTGAAGCTAGCTGGAGCTGCCATTTCACATTCTTAATTTCAAATATATATATATATATAGATATATATAATAACAAAAACAAAGAAAATTTGACTCTAGTGATGGCAATGGCATAAAAAAAACCAGTGCCCTCCTCACATGTGACCACCGCAAACATTTCCTGAATAATTAATACACTTTGAAAAAATGAAATTCAAAGTACATTAATTTAAATATCAATACATAACTGTCAATGATCTAAATAATTAATGGCAATGTTCTTTCACTGAAAATAAGAGATTCTAAATTTGAATCACATAACATGCAGATGAAATGGAATAAGAGATTGGAAATAGTTGCTTCCCGTTATGAAATCAATATCAAAAAAAGAAAAAAAATCAATACATAACTATTAATAATATAAATAATTTAATAATAATCTTCTTTCACTAAAAATAAGAAATCTTAAATTCGAATAACTTAATATGCATATGAGATTTGATAAAAAATTAAAAAAAAAATTGTTTCTGGTTGAGCAACCAACGTAAAAACAAAAAATCAATACATAACTAACAACTCTAGCTTGCTTCTGAATTCTGATCATCTATTTTGATTCCTCCTTTTGCTTTCTCTGTTTTCAATATTTCTTTTTCCCTTTTTCTCCTCTGCCAAACAAAACAAAATTTACAAAGAAAATGCATTAAAAGAAGAAGAAATGGTAAATCGTGATTAAATTAAATAAGAGTTCTTTTAACTTATAGTCTTAAATTACAAATTAAATGGCCGACTAGGCCTGTGGCCCAATTGGTTGGCCCCCAAGCTTTAGGGTTTGGGTGAGGCGGAGGTCAGGGCTTCGAGTTCTGCCACCGCCGTGAACTTTACCAACTTGCGACTTAATGGTCACGCCTCAAATGAGGGTATAGAACGTTCACTTTCCTAGAAAAATTTCAGTTGCTAACAAACTAACTCTACTAACTTCCTAACCATCTATCTGGTCAAAAAAAAAAAAATGGAACGTTAACTTTCTTGGAAAAATTCCAGCTACTAACAAACTAATTCTACTAACTTCCTAACCATCTACTTGGTCAAAAAAAAAATTACAAATTAAATGTATTTTTTATTATAAATATATAAAAAAATAAACAGTAATATTTATTTTAATATCATTGTAAAATTAATAAATTTAATTAAATAATTAATATGTTAAAAATTAATTTTCATTTTTAATATAAATTTACATAGTACGAAATAATATATTCATTATGCTTTTACTTTCTGCCTAACTAAATACAACATGGTTAAAAAAAATTCTAATTAATAATTACTCGATATATTGAGAAGATTTGAAATGATTAAAAAATTTAAGCCGAAGGATTAGCATTGCCTGGGATCGTGCATGTTGCTACGGTAGCATGTACAATAATTATTAATTAATGTTAATTTAATACTACTAATTAAACCCTCCTGGACCTGGAATCCTGGATTTGAATCTGCTTATGAGGAATGAAAGCGCGTGTTTGCACGGGCTACGGATGCGGATGGGATACTCAAGTTTTCTTCCCCGAACGAGAAAACTTTCCATTACCCATTTTCTTTTTCTTTTTTTTTTTTTATGCATCCATTACCCATTTTCAAAAAAAGAAAAAAAGAATGAGAAAACTTGTGCCGGAAAAGGTAATAGCTGACCCGACGAACCGGAGTGGAAGTCGGAGTAGATAACGGAAAACCACGTAGGAAACGGAATTACTACTACTTTTTCTACAACATTCTATGGAGTGTATGGAAGGTGCGATGATAGCAAAAATTTCCAGGCGGCTGAATAATCGGTTTATCACTGAAATTTTTGTGGGTATATTTTGGAGGTGTGCAACGCGCTCGGTTTTTTAGGTGAGAAACACGCACTTCTCGCCCCCCGTTTTTGCTTTGGTTGTGGCTTGTTTTGACTTTAATTTGGGTTTTTGAAAAGAGTTGTTGGGTTGTGGGAATGGAAGGCGGTGTGGTTGGACCTTGAAATACGTTTCTTGTGCCATCAGGCAAGTTAGAAGTTACATGTGGGTTGTGAAAATTCATGCAAAGTCGTGTACTGCCATCCCCCACACTCTTTTATCGATGCTCTTCTTTTAGTTCACTATATGTAACCTCTAGAAGAATCACGGATTTCAATTCTTCAGGCAAATGAGTCCTCTCTTTTTCCAAAATCTCCCCATGCTTAATCCTAAAGCATTCAAGAGGAAATCTCAGACTTGAATTATTGATTGTTTAAATTGTTTCTAAACTTTGAGGAATAAATAGATAGTTTTAGAAAAATTTTGAACAAGATTCCAGAAAAAGCATTAGGCGACGGTGGGCGTTTGCCTGCTACCTGGCTAGCACCTAAGCAACTTAAGTGTAATATTTAAGAATTGTTAAGCATTCTAAGCATTTTTAGTTTTCTACAAAAGATGTCAAAATAGATTTAAAAATTAAAATAAATAAATAAAAGAAACGTCTAATTCTACTGCTTAAGCACTTAAGTAATATCTTAACGAGTTTTTTTTTTTTTTTTTTTTGTAACATTTAGTGTTAAACTTAAATGTCTTATTTGCTATGGTGAAGTTTTAAGCTTGAATTTATTAAATAAAGTACTATTTATGAAGTTGCCATATCTATTTTCTGTGAAGCGCACACCAAACAAAAAATGGAGTGAAATGTCAAAACCGGAAAAGAAATGAATAGTATTAAAATTACCTGAATTAGAAAAAAAATGGGTTTTCAAGAGTTTGCCAATTTTGGCCAAAAAAAAAAAAAAAAAGAACTTAGGGGATCATTAAACAGTCTATCAAAATAAGGAGGAAAAAGAAAAGGGTAGGCAAAAGTTTTCTCAAACCGAAAATCATAAAAAAGAAAAAAAATTAACTGAAATTCACTAATTAATCAACTCAGCTGCTAAACCTCAGAAAGGAGAAGAACTCCGCCTTAAACTGCCCTACACGGTTCTAAAAGCCACCGCTAATTAAATCAGCTGCCGGAAATCCGGTCCCACATGTTGGTGGATCAAGTAATCATCACCGTTTGACACGTCGAACACCATGTTCGGGTGGTGCATGAACTGCTGCTGCTGCTGCTGCTGTTGCTGCTGCGCCCTCAGCATCTCCTTCTGGCGTCTGAGCTCCAGCACCTTGCGGTGGGAGTTGGAGTGTTTTGTAAGCACGAAAGTCGGGCTTGCAGCGGGGCGGTACTCCGGTACCAGGCGGCCGGACTTATACCTCACCCCGCAAGCATTGCAAAGTGTCTTGGGTCCCATCGGCCCTGTCCGCCACTGTGGCGTCTTATCCGTCGCGCAATGCAGGCACCTCCGGCCCTCCCCATTGGCCCCAGTTCCGTCGCCATCTTTTTTCCTGGACGCGGTCGTTTTCCCTGGCTTTTTGCCGGCAGTCGGGAGAGGTGGTGGGTTGGGGACAGCTACGTCGGGCTCCGAGGAAGAGGTAGTTGGACTGAGGACTAGGAGGCGAGAGGCCCAATTTCCCGGGGCTCCACGGGACCGCTTGCTCCGAGCCTTGGCGGGCACCGACATATCCGAATGGAATATTGGGTTGCCGCTGGTATTGTTACCGGCACTGCCGAGGATGTTATCGTTGCTTTGGTTGTGCTCGGATTCAAATCTTCGGATCTCCGATGCTCCGTTGGATCGTGCTTTCATACCTGATATCAGCTGCAACTTCTGCAGGTCCTCGCTGGAGAATGATTCCTCCCCGAAATTCGACAGCCATTGATCAAGCTCAGCTAAATCGTCGTGCTGTCATTAAAATAAAAATTAAAAAAAAAAAACCATATATTAGCATTTTTTTTCCTTTGTTTGGTTGCCGAGCAAATCACTCTGAAATTAGGAGAGAAAACTTTTTGAAAATTTGAAATTCACAGAACATTCTAAAATTTGCTTCCCTTCATTTCCCCGCTCCATTTTCATGGTAACCAAACAGCAATTTAGATGACAAAAAGAAACTGAAATTAAGAAACAATAATCGGAATTCGAATTTACCGGCACAGACAGGTCTCCCGCGAACTGTCCGTCGCCAAAACTCCTGCCGCACCCACCAATATCGCCCCCGAAATTTGGTTCAGAACCGGAGAAGGAGGAGGAATTGCAACTATCGTTGAGGGTGACGTCGGTAGAGGATTCCCTAGATTGGGCGGCAACAGAATCAACAGCGCTGTCATGAGTTACAACAGCGTCCTCGTTGGAGAAGTCCAAGAGGTCCTCCACGATGAAATGGTCACCGGAACCATGCTTCTCCGGCGTCAATTGGGAGCAATAGGCGGTGCCATGAGTGAACTGGGGTGCTTCCATAATAATTTAGTAGTTTTGGGCTTTCGTTGTTAATTCGGTTGGAGAGTGTGGAGTAAGAGAAATGTGAGGTGGGGGGGGGTAGAGAGAAAGAAGTTGTGGTTTTGAGAAAGAGAGAGGGTTTATTTGCGTTTGAAAGGGACAGGCGGACGGCTAAAATGGAGGATTTTGACGACGGCCAAAAAAAAAAGAAAGAAAAGAAATAAAGTGAAAAAATGGAAATTAAATAAATTAATTAAAGAGGCTTTATTTTGGTTTAAAGGAAAATCTACTCTGAAGTTTCTTTAATGCCCTTTTCCTTTGGGAGTCTTTTAATGCCCCAATTAACCAGTATATCTAACATGCCAGAAATGGTTTTTGTAATGATTATAGGTTTTTAATTCTGGCTTTATGGTGTCAATGAGAATTTAGGTAAGTGATTAAGGAATTTAAAGTTAACGTACTATAATTTTAAGGTTTTGAGTTTAATTTTATACATATAATAAAAAAATATACGACGAGAGAAGTGATACGTAAAAAATATTACACTATCAATTACCACATCGCTCTTGTAAGCTTCCCACTTCTTGCAATTTTCTTTTTCTTTAACTTCGCTAGTTTATTAGTTACATTTTGATTATTTAGTGGATAAAGAATTTTTTTGATACGTAAGTATTAAGGGTTGAATTTTAAATGTATGATTAAAAGTACAAATAATTTTAATATTAGACTATAAAATTAATAATAAATTATGAATTAATAACTTTTTTAAAATTTATTAAATTTAGTGTAAATGACATATTTTCAACATAATGAAAGTGAATTATTGATTTAGTTAATTAATCTAATGCATGAACTAACCAAATAAATATAGGCACAAGTACATATATATTTGATTGCTAAACCAAAAGCATTTAGAACCCCCACTTGATTTAATTGATATTTGAATTGAATTCAAGTTCAAGGCTGTGATAAAAAATTTTAATTGAGTTGAATATTAGCACACACATAGTGGGTTTAATATAAGTAGTACTATTACTTCTTCTTCTTTTTTAGGCCATAATAGTGCTAGTACTTTTTTTTTTTTTTTTGGGGAGGGGAGATTATGGGACTAGTACTATTATTTATTTTTTCAGGCCACCAAAGTACTACTACTTGAACTAATGAGATGTTGGATCAAGAGGTAAACGATTTGTTCCAGTCTAAGCAAGATTTTGAATTTGAGATCATGTGTACGTGGCAGTCTTTGTTGGGAGATTCATCTACCATTTTCAGGTGCGCAAGTTGATCCAGATTAATCGGGGTGAAGTCCCAAATACTAAGCGAGAAACCAAAAAAAAAAAAAAAAAGTACTACTACTTGATTTAGGGAATTAACCATACACAATTCAAGGAGTGGGATGTGTTTTTATTATGAGACAATATCCTAAATAGACATGGTCCGGCCCACCAGAAAATCAGGTCTCCCGTCCGCTCCAGAGGGTCCCACTAGAGTAAAATCTCAACCGCACGTGCATGTGATGATCACAGGACCACACACTGCATCAACCCTTGCTTGCACCTGCCAGTATTTGATATCAACCACCGACTTGATATTCACTATTTTACAAGTTTTAATTAGAATCAATATCAAATAATCAATTAAATAATTTAGTAATAAAATTATTTATGTTTTAAAAAGATTTAATTTTTAATTTTTATGTATAAAAAAATTAAAATTAATAATTTAAACATATATAATACTAAATTATTTATTTTTAACATTTAAAAAAAAAGAGAAAAACTTAAAAGATTTTATTAACAAAGTATATTTTTTTTTAAACAAATTTGTAAGGAATCAAATTTGAATCACTGCGAGAGGAGGGAGATCCACTTCAAACATGGTTTGACGTCACTAACTCCGAAAGCCTAAGTGCATTAATAAAATATTTATTGTAACTTATGTCAAAATTTTAAATAGTGGGTCATTATATAAAACAAAATTTAATTTTTTAAAAAGATAAATCTAGTTAGTAAAATGTTTACACACTTTTCAGTTTAATACTTTCATCAATATTTATTGGTTCAATTATTAAAATTTATAATTAAA